CCTGCTTTAGTCCTGCTTTAGTCCTGCTTTAGTCCTGCTTTAGTCCTGCTTTAGTCCTGCTTTAGTCCTGCTTTAGTCCTGCTTTAGTCCTGCTTTAGTCCTGCTTTATTCCTGCTTTAGTCCTGCTTTAGTCCTGCTTTAGTCCTGCTTTATTCCTGCTTTAGTCCTGCTTTAGTCCTGCTTTAGTCCTACTCTAGTCCTACTTTAGTCCTACTTTAGTCCTGCTTTAGTCCTGCTTTATTCCTGCTTTAGTCCTGCTTTAGTCCTACTCTAGTCCTACTTTAGTCCTGCTTTAGTCCTGCTTTAGTCCTGCTTTAGACCAAGGGTGGCGTGGTCACAGGACCACTCACATTAAAAACATCTTAAATGAAGAGTAAAAACTATAATTCACCACATCCTCGTGTTCTGTTGTTTGTGCAGATGTCGGACTCTGAGTGTTCTGTTGTTTGTGCAGATGTCGGACTCTGAGTGTTCTGTTGTTTGTGCAGATGTCGGACTCTGAGTGTTCTGTTGTTTGTGCAGATGTCGGACTCTGAGTGGGAGGATCTGTTGGAAGGATTTGACGAGCGCTCGTACCTGAACGTGCGGCGATGGAAACCTGGAGACGATCCGTACACGCACTACGCATTCAACCAACGAGAGAGTGAGCGTATCCCCAGCAACCGCGCCCTGAAGGACACACGCCACTCCACGTGAGTGCCGTTCACACACACACACACACACACACACAGAGACACACACACACACACAGAGACACACACACACACACACAGAGACACACACACACACACACACATAGACACGCACACACACAGAGACACCTACACACGCACACACACACAAAGAGACACCTACACACGCACACACACACAAAGAGACACCTACAGACACACACACACAGACACACACACACAGACACACACACGCACACACACACATACATAGATGCACGCACACAGACATACACACACACACACATACACATAGACAGACACACACAGTTGGGCGACAGTTTCTCAGTTAACATTGGTCTTTGAACCTAATGGTCATGGGTTTAGATCCCCCCACACCTCATGTCACCTGCTCCCACTGACTTCTGCTGCCTTTGTGTCCTTGGGCAAGACAGTTAACCCCACTTGGCCTGAAGCCCCCACTGAAAGACCAGGGCTGTGTCTTCGTTGATAGTGCACCCACCGCCTGCAGGACGATCAGCATGTCGTGTTAGAACTCTTCATTTGTCTCTGTTTGTCGCTCATTCGTTGAGAGCAGAGTTTTTATCGCAGAAACACTCTCGGACGTTATCAGTGCGAAGCCGCGGACTCTTCTATAAAAGGAATCCGTCTAATTTAATTTTGAAGCCGCAGCTAATTCCTTGTGTCTGGTGTGAAATGAATCATAATGGGGCTGCGGCGTTTGCGGATCACACGCAGAGCGGGTTTACTCCTGTTACAATGGAGGTTTACGGACTTTTGGGGGCCCTCGGGAAAGATGGCAAGTGAGGCCCCTGAATTTTTTGTTATTTTTTATTTGATAAAAAGTGTTGTAGTTACGAGCACGAGCCGTACATCTGATGCAAGTGGTGGTTCTACGTACGAGGACAGGTCCAGTATCTGCGTCTTTGTCCATTCCAAGACTTTCATTAATTCATTCTCGGACCCTGTACAGTGGTCCCTGGTTTATTGCAAGGGTGATGTGTTCTAAAAATATCCTTGATATGGCAGCTGTATGTTTCTACCCACCTGAACTCATGACTGCTGAAGTGAGAGAGACCAGAGAGAGAGACCAGAGAGAGAGACCAGAGAGAGAGACCAGAGAGAGAGACCAGATAGAGACCAGGGCCTTTCTGAGTGGAGTTTGCATGTTCTCCCCGTGTCTGCGTAGGTTTCCTCCGGGTACTCCGGTTTCCCCTACCACTAAAAATATGTCCAATAGGCATGTATGGCATGCGCCTCCTGTACTGGCGACCCCACTCCCATCTCTGTGTGGAGTGAGAGACAAATGCCCATAATTAACAATTGTAAACCGCTTTGAGACTCAGATCTGCAGTGAAAAGGCGGTATATAAATAAAGATTACTACCAGAGAGAGACCGGAGAGAGACTACAGATTTCAAACCTGTTGGCTATAGGTCTGAGTGCTGCTTTAGCTGTCAAAAGACATAACCGTTTGTGTCACACTCACCATTTTGGGTTTAATAATCTGGTTTATCCTAGTATGATCCTGGTGTTTTATGATCAGCGGTTCTCTTGGCACCCCCTCTGCTGTTTCCTGGTTTGCTCCTCTTTGTTAGCATTACTGATGGAGATGTGGGCAAGACCTGGATCAGAATAATGTGTTTTCTGAAGCTCGCTCTCTTGCAACTATAATGTGCTGTAGTCGTACAGCGGTGATAGATCTCCCGGCTCACAATCGGACAGCTCTGCTCCTTCCAGACGATAAAACTCCTCCCCTGCATCTGTGTGTGTGTGTGTCTGTGTGTGTGTGAGTGTGTGTGTGTGTGTGTGTCTCTGTGATGCATCAAGAGAGCACACATAGCGCGGGGAAAAGACACTCTCATAACAGTTTGAAATGAGGAAGAGGCATCTGTGTGTGTGTGTGTGTGTGTGTGTGTGTGTCTGTGGGTACATGTGTGTGCGTGTATGATGCATCTGTGCGTTTTTGACGGAGAGTGGAACGCTGTGTTTAACTGCTAGGAATAATGTTCTTGTGCTTCAGGAAATCCAACACCAAGAAAACACTGAGTATGATTCCAAAGCTCTGGTCTAGCGAAACCGGATCTGTCTCCTTTAGTCCAATTTAACTATATTGAACAAGACTCACTGTGTCGTCTGCTCAGCATTACTGGATGGAACTGAATGACCGGCTTTAGTCCTGCTTTAGACCTGCTTTAGTCCTGCTTTAGTCTAGCCTTAGACCTGCTTTAGTCCTGCTTTAGTCCTGCTTTAGTCCTTCCTTAGACCTGCTTTAGTCCTGCTTTAGTCCTGCTTTAGACCTGCTTTAGGGCTGCGTTAGTCCTGCTTTAGACCTGCTTTACACCTGCTTTAGTCCTGCGTTAGACCTGCTTTACACCTGCTTTAGTCCTGCTTTAGGCCTGTGTTAGTCCTGCTTTAGGCCTGTGTTAGTCCTGCTTTAGGCCTGTGTTAGACCTGCTTTAGGCCTGGTTAGTCCTGCTTTAGGCCTGTGTTAGTCCTGCTTTTGTTCTGGGGCAGACCTGGATTCTTGGTCTCTTGTTGTTTTTCTAAATCTCTCGTTTGCGTCACTCTTCACATTATGACTCGTGTCTTCTCGCGTTCGGATGATGAATATCTGCTGATGACAAATTCTTCCCCCTCCACGCTCCTTCCCCAGATGCCTCCCTCTCCTTCCCTCTCCCCAGACGCCTCCCTGTCACACCACAGCACTCCTCCGTATGTTCGCAAAAAGCTGGTAATCTGGAGGAAAGGAAATGTGTTCTTACTGCTGGCATCTTTTCTCTGCTATACACTCTATTGTGTTGTGTTGTCCTTATGTGTTGTTCTGCTGTATAAAGGTAAAGGTATGAACAGCTCTGGACGAAGTGTCTGGGGCGAGGGAAGTCTGGTTTTGTTGTCTGAGTTGGTTTGAGACGTTTTTATTTTTTTCATTCATTGGCTTTATGTGACAGAGAATCAGCCAGAACTGATGTCTGTCTCCAGATCACACAGTTTAGTTTGTTCTGTAAGAGGTCCCAGTATCGAACCCTGGGGAACCCCACTGGTCAGGGCCAAATGATCTGAGACAGTTTCCAACAAAGTACTTCCGTTCTCTGGATGAGACTTAAGCTACCACAAACTTAGTCTGTATGAAGACCACTCTGTTTGAGAGCCCTTTTTCTCTCCTCTTTCCCCTTTATCCTCTCCCACTCTATCCCCCTCATCACACTCTCTCCTCTCTCTCCTTCCCCTTTTCTTTTCTGTCCGCTCCAGTCTCCCTCTCTCCTCTCCCACTCTATCTCTCCTCAGCCTTTCTCTCATCTCCACTCATTACACTCTCTGCTTTCTCTCTTGATCTCCTTCTCCTCCTCCTCTCTTCTCTCTCCTTTCCTGTCCCCCTCTCGCCGCTCCCTCTCCTCTTTCCTATTTTCTCCTCCTCTCTTTCTCCCTCTCTCCTCCCATTCTCCTCTTCTCTCTCCTTATTCCTCTTCTCTCCTCTCTCCCTTCTCATCGCTCTCCTTACACTCTCCCTCCTCTCTCTCTCCCCTCTCCTTCCCCCACTCCCTCCGCTCTTCCTCTCTCTCTGTATAATTGGCCCCACACCCGTCTCCACACGCTCGAGTTCCTGCTTCGACACGACACAAACACAAACACTGATCCACAGAAACATTATCAGATGAATAATAATTAACACGAGACAAAGCCGCGATCTGACTGTTTTACTTCAGTCCTTTTCAAACCAATGAACTGCGACTACGACTGTTTCACAATCATTTAAACAACAGAGGGATCAGAAAACGACTGAGAGTGGACGCTGATAAACACAACTCCAGGTCTAATGTCTCTGAGTCTGTAGGACTGTCTCTGTCTGTTTGTTCATAATCTTTGAAACATTTTTGTGATCTTTATTTGTATTTATGTAGCGCCTTTCACAGACCAGAATAGTTATGGGTATTTGACTTTCACTCCTCACAGAGATGGAGCAGGTCACCTACTGGAGGCACATACCAGACCTTTGAACCTAAGTTTTTAGTGGTAGGGGAAACCGTAGCAACTGGAGGAAACCTGCACAGACAGGAGGAGAACATGCAATCTCCACACAGAAAAGTCTGGAGCTGGAATCAAACCCAGGACCTTCTCGCTGTGAAGCGCAAACCACTGCGGCACGTGCTGCCAGTGGATCTTCAGCTTTGTGTGAAGTTAAACAAAGGTGAGACCTGAGACCTGAGGAAACATGAGTGTGCAGTGCGTAGGTGTCACACGGCGAGGACACGGCGAGGACACGGTGGCGCAGATACAGCGGTGGCGTTCCTTTTGCCGGAGGTAAAACTCAAGGACGATCATCTCCAAACACTTCTGTGCAAACACCAGCGACAGGAGCGTCCTTCAGCCTGATGGATGGAGCGGCGAGACGGAATACTGATGAGGAAGACACAATATTTACCCACAGAGAGTCACCACGGCCCTGCAGGCTCCGCTCAGACCACGGACAACGAGCAAGTGAGCGATCAGCAGCTCTACTTTCCTCCTAACACACATGAAGCTCTCTGGATGCAGTTGTGAGTGTGTGAAGTACAGAAGCACAAGAACACAGACACAAACTGAGAACAGTACCTTTTGTATGTGTGTCCCTGTGAGTCACTATCTGCCTCTTTGGGCTGAATGGCTGCAGCAGTCAGCAGCAGCAGCAGTAGTAGCAGTCAGTAGCAGCAGCAGCAGCAGTAGCAGTAGCAGTCAGTAGCAGCAGCAGCAGTAGCAGTCAGTAGCAGCAGCAGCAGCAGCAGCAGTAGCAGCAGCAGCAGCAGCAGCAGCAGCAGTAGCAGTAGCAGTCAGTAGCAGTAGCAGCAGCAGCAGCAGTAGCAGTAGCAGTCAGTAGCAGTAGCAGCAGCAGCAGCAGTAGCAGTCAGTAGCAGCAGCAGCAGTAGCAGTCAGTAGCAGCAGCAGCAGCAGTAGCAGTAGCAGTCAGTAGCAGCAGCAGCAGCAGCAGCAGCAGCAGTAGCAGTAGCAGTCAGTAGCAGTAGCAGTAGCAGCAGCAGCAGCAGCAGCAGCAGCAGCAGCAGCAGCAGCAGCAGCAGCAGCAGCAGCAGTAGCAGTCAGCAGCAGCAGCAGCAGTAGCAGTAGCAGCAGCAGCAGCAGCAGCTCTGATCTCCGTATCGTTCTCACTCAGGATTCAGCTCCAGACAAACACAGCAGCTCAGATAACACTTCATCTGATGCAGAAAACAGCAGAATACTAAACGCTCTCCGCTTCACTTTTAAAACAAGGTTGATTTCTTAAAGTTGAGGTACGTAACTTTTTAGTTAGTTAGACTTTATTGATCCCCGTAGGAGAAATGCAGGTGTCCAGTAGCAGCCCAAACACATCCATCCACACAAACAAAACAAATTAATGGATTAATCTGAAAAGCTAACAATAGTAATTATAAGCAACAGCAGCAGAGGTGGAGCAGTCGTTTGGTTCGTACCATTTTCTCTGCTCTGGTCCAAAGTAAAGTGCTATTTTTTTAATCTATCTTTTATTTATTTGTTTGGAGGATAAACCCCTAGAGATGAATCGTCTTCTTTTCGAGGGGGTTCTCAAAATTGGATTCGCCTGATCCACTTGGTTCAGACCATGAATCCTCTCCGCTCTGGTCTGGACCAGTGCAAAACCATGAACACTGTACTGCAGCAACATCTCATGCAGAAAAAAATCAAGAAAAATAACAATTGTAAAACTCAAAACAACAACTGTTTCAGAGATACTTAGGACTTACTGCCGTTTCCAGCGCATTCAAAAGGTCTCATACATAGGTCTCATGCATAACACATGCTGTTTATCTAAGAGAACGTTTTATTGTGAACAAATCAGACCACAACGGGCAGTCTTGTGCTGTTTAGTGCGAGAAAGAGCTTTGAGTCTCACTACTTGACTTTTTGGGCTGAGAGCTGATTGGCTGAGTGAGGGCGGTCCTCTCTGTCACTTTTCTGTCTGAAAAAAAACCTCTGGTCTCTCTCTGATCTCTTTCTGGTCTATCCCTCTCTGGACTCTCTGGTGACATCGCTCTGGTCTCTTTCTGGTCTCTCTCTGGTCTCTCTCTGGTCTCTCTCTGGTCTCTCTCTAGTCTCTCTGTGGTCCAAATATACATGATGTGAAATTCAGTGACAGAAGCAACAGTTTTAGATCCAAGAAGCAGAAACATGGGTTAATACAGAGTTCTGTTGGTGTGGTCTGAAAGTTAGGTCCCCCAGCTTTATGGTATAATGATATAATTCCCTGGCGGCCGACACACACAGCCGACATCGTGGTCTGTCACATCAGCGCAGCGGGACCTCGTTACCGTGAGGTTTGCCGCTCTAACTCCTGTCCCTGTGCGTTTAGTGCAGACGACAGGTCATTTTCTACACGTCCTTTTGTGGGGAGCGTCAGAGAAACGGCCTCATCTGCTGCAGCTGTCCCCCGCTAATGAAACAGGAGCATGCAAATCACTGGAGCTAATAGAGCTGAGGCGAGGAGGAGGAGAGCGGAGGAGAGGGGAGGAGGAGGAGAGGAGAAGAGAGGGGAAGGGAGGGGAGAGAGGTGAGAGAAGCAAGGGAGGTGAGGGAGGACAGCGAGGAGAGAGAGGAGAGAAGAGAGAGGACAGTAGAAGGAAGGGGAGAGAGGATAGAGAGGAGAGGAGATGAAGGGGAGAGAGGATAGAGAGGAGAGGAGATGAGGGGAGAGAGAGGATAGGAGAGAGATGAGAGACGAAGGGAGGGGAAAGAGGTTGGAGAGGAGAGAGAGAGGAGAGTTGAAGGGAGGGGAGAGAGGTTAGAGAGGAGAGGAGAGTGGTGAGAGATGAAGACAGAGAGGGGTGAGAGAGGAGAGGAGAAGGAGAGTGGAAGGGAGGGGAGAGAGTTGAAAGAGCAGAAGAGAGGGAGGTGAGAGGATTGGGGAGAGAGGGGAGAGGAGACAGGTGAGGAGGGGAAAGTAGGGGAGAGAGAAGAGAGGAGGGGGCGAGAGGTTAGAGAGGAGAGGAGAGGGGAGAGAGAAGAGAGTGGTGAGAGAGGAGAGGAGAAAGAAGAGGAGAGTCTAAGGGAGGGGAGAGAGGTTAGAGAGGAGAGGAGAGGAGAAGGAGAGTGGAAGGGAGGGGAGAGAGGTGAAAGAGCAGCAGAGAGGGAGGTGAGAGGATTGGGGAGAGAGGAGACAGAGGTGAGGAGGGGAATGTAGGGGAGAGAGAGAAGAGAGGAGGGGGCGAGAGAGGAGAGAAGGGAGAGAAGAGGAGAGAGTGGTGAGGGGAAGGGAGGGGAGAGGTGAAAGAGCAGAAGAGAGGAAGGTGAGAGGATTGGGGAGGGAGGAGGGGTCGAGGTAGAGAGAGAGGAGAGGAAAGGAAAGAGAGGGTAGGGAAAGGGAGAGGAGAAGGGAGAGAAAGGAGAGGAGAGAGGAGGAGGGGAAGAGAGCTGAGGTGAGAGAGGAGAAGAGGAGGTCCTGTTGTTTAGACCCATGTTGGCTTTCTACCATGAGGTTGACTCCCTCTCGTTAAAATAGATTCAAAAAGACCTGAGCTGATGTCGGAGTGGACAGAGGTAAACACAGCCGCAGGTCTGTGTTCGCTGAGGTCCTTCTCTGCTTCTCTCTGGTGAATGCGGTCCTCGTGGGCGGCAGCGTGCGGAGAGTTCGCCGCAGACGAAGGCGCTGGCTCAGATCATTGTAGTAAAGCCAAAAATCAGCACGGCACGCGTCACTTGGCGAAGCTTCATTCAGAGTTCAGTGTGTTTCTAATTACACCGCGGCTCAGACCCAGGTCCTCTGATCGTCTCACACAGATCTGTTTCTGCCATACAGTCGTTTTTTAACCCAAACCTCACACCAGGGACAATACTCTGCAGAACGACGGCGTAAGGAGCCGCAGAGCCGTGTTCGGGTGAATGAGGCTCTCATGGAAAGTGTCTGTTGTGCTTCTTGAGGATGAGAAACTGGCTGTGGCCCAATATAATGTGATTCCTTCTGGTGTCACTGATCTCTGTGGATCTGACCGGAGCAGGGCCTGGTCAGGTCTGTGATGGAGAGAGAGCAGGGGACTTGAAGACTTCTTTTGAACATGGAATGTTCACCCCTTTTATTCTAACACATGGCAAAATGCTGAACTGGGTTCTCAAGGTTTTCACACACCGCTGCTGGTACTTTGGCCCATTCCTCCATGCAGATCTACTCCAGAGCAGTGATGTTTTGAGCCTGTGGCTGGGCAACATGGATTTTCAACTCCCTCCAAAGATTTTCCATGGGGTTGAGATCTGGAGACTGGCTAGGCTGTTTACATATTGCACGTGTGGATGGATCTTAAAAAATGTCCATGTCTGTTCCTTATGAGGAGTGTTATATCATAGGATCCTGACTTTACCATTGAAGTCTCCCCCGTCTCCCCCTCAGAGACCCCCTCTCCGTCCGCCTCCTCGTTAGGCCTTAGATTTATGCCGATGACTCCAAACTGCTGCGTGGTGCTTTTGCGTCGTTTCATTTCGCTCTCGTCCCAATTATCGCCTTCGATGAATGTTGCCAGATTAGTCGGGACAGCCATGCGTCTCCCATTCATTTGTCCGAGCTGGAAACACGGACCTCGACCCCAGGAACTACAGGGAGACGAGCTGTTTTTATTCTGATGAAGCTGAGCGAGAGCCGGGCTTAAAGACGAAGTGTGGAAGTATTGATCCGTGCGACAGAATAGATCCGTGCTAATCCGGCTAATCAACTCTCTCTGGGCCCAAACGGAGATATCACGACAATAACACGTGTTAAGACCACAACAGGAACGAGAACCCTGGCTTTTATTACAGAGTCCTATTGTTGTGGTGTGAAAGTTACATACCCAAGCTTTAGAGACCAGAGAGAGACCAGAGAGAGACCAGAGAGAGACCAGAGAGAGACCAGAGAGAGACCAGAGAGAGACTAGAGAGAGACCAGAGAGAGACCAGAGAGAGACCAGAGAGAGACCAGAGAGAGACCAGAGAGAGACCAGAGAGAGACCAGAGAGAGACCAGAGAGAGACCAGAGAGAGACCAGAGAGAGACCAGAGAGAGACCAGAGAGAGAGCAGAGAGAGACAAGAGATGGTGAGACCGGGGAGAGACCACAGAGGGAGAGCCCAGAGAGAGAGAGCGAGAGAGGGAAAGACCAGAGAGAGCCCAAAAAGAGAAAGATCAGAGAAAGAGAGACCAGAGAGAGAGCAGAGAGAGCAGTGAGATCTAGAGACTAAAAAGAGAACAATCAGAGAGATAGACTAGAGAATACAAAATGCAACAGTGCAAGTCTCACATCACCAGGTTTGAGACAGGAGCACGCAGACAGAAGGGGCGGGGGCGTCTGTTTGTAACACACAGAGACCTTAAAACACATGATTTTGCAGAAAACGTGATTTTGGAGAAAACTAATCCTCCGACTTCTGTGTGAGGATTAACATGTGTTTTTTGCACACGCAGCTCATGCATTATACAATGACAGCCGCCTCCATAGAACCATGTGTAATGATATTAAAGGGCTCATACAAACCAGAGCTCATGTATTCACCATGTGCAGACTCATACTGGTCAGCCACAGCTGCCCTGGGGCTGATTCTAGGAAATGTGGTTAAAGTGGAAGTGGAAGGAAGCAACAACAGTTTGGCACTTTGCAGCCGCAGCCGCCCCACTGTGGCTCCTTGTGTTCCCAGAGGCCCTGCTTAGCTTCTGACTGGATCTTGCTTTCACATGCAGGTGGTGCTTCAACTGTCTCTGGTCTTTCTCTGGTCTCTCTGGTCTCTCTCTGGTCTCTCTCTCTGGTCTCTCTCTGGTCTCTCTGTCTGCTCTTTCTCTGGTCTCTCGGGTCTCTTTCTGGTCTATCTCTGGTCTCTCTCTGGTCTCTCTCTGGTCTCTCTCTGGTCTCCCTCTGGTCTCGCTGCGGTCTCTCTCTGGTTTCTCAGCTCTTTCACAGCTCTCTCTCTTCTATCTCTCTGGTCTCTCTCAGGTCTCTCTCTGATCTCTCTCGTTGCTCTGGTCTCCCTCTGGTCTCTCTCAGGTCTCTCTCTAGTCACTCAGGTCTCTCTAGTCTCTCTGGTCTCTCTCAGGTCTTTCTCTGGTCTCTCTGGTCTCTCAGGTCTCTCTGGTCTCTCTCTGCTCCCTCAGGTCTCTCTGGTCTCTCTCAGGTCTCTCTCAGGTCTTTCTCTGGTCTCTCAGGTCTCTGGTCTCTCTCTGCTCCCTCAGGTCTCTCTGGTCTCTCTCTGGTCTCTCTCAGGTCTTTCTCTGGTCTTTCTGGTCTCTCAGGTCTCTCTGGTCTCTCTCTGCTCCCTCTCTGGTCTCTCTCTTCTCTCCCTCTGATCCCTCTCTGGTCTCTCTCTGGTCTCTCTCTGGTCTCTCTCTTCTCTCCCTCCCTCTGATCCATCTCTGGCCTCTTTCTGATCTCTCTGGTTTTGAAAATGCAGTCACCAGAGATTTCAGTAAATCTAAAAACAATTCACTATGATTAAAGTTCTCTCTGTGTTCTGGTCCAGTGTAGAAATATTCCCACATTCACTGAGCTTTAGGATCAAAATTACTCAAGGATGATCAACATTATGGTTAATTAGAGCCGTATAGAGTTAGTGTCACAGTCAGATCAAAGCCTGAAGTGTGGCGTCTGGAGGAGGTGGAAGTTGTGGGCGAGTCTCCGGATCCCTGGTCTCAGACGGTTTCTCGCTGCAGCCTCATTATTTTGTGTTTCCACGTTCGTTAGAGAGCTTTTATGTTTGCTCCAGTCTCAGCTTCGTTAATAATGAACAGTGTGGAAAATATCAGACACAGTGACCAGTTTGGACCGGCTTTAGACCTGCTTTAGACCTGCTTTAGACCGGCTTTAGACCGGCTTTAGACCTGCTTTAGACCTGCTTTAGTCCTGCTTTAGACCAGCTTTAGTCCTGCTTTAGACCTGCTTTAGACCTACTTCAGTCCTGCTTTAGACCTGCTTTAGACCTACTTCAGTCCTGCTTTAGACCTGGTTTAGACTTACTTTAATCCTGCTATAGACCTGCTTTAGACTGCTTTAGACCTGCTCTAGACCTCTTTTAGACCAGTTCCTGCCCTGATTTAGTCCGGATGTAAACCTTTTATGGTCTCTCTTGTGTTAAATATTTAAGCAGACTTGTGTTCCGCCTGCGGCTCGATCGATACTGAGGAAACGTGGTTTTATTTCACACTGAACAAAACAAAGTCAACATGTGACATTCTCCATGATAAACGTATGAGCAGGAGTTTTCATGGTCACAGTTTGCAATTGCAATTGTCTCTCCCTTTGGTCTCTTTCTCTGGTCTCTCTCTCTGGTCTCTCTCTGGTCTCTCTCTCTGGTCTCTCTCTCTGGTCTCTCTCTGGTCTCTCTCTCTGGTCTCTCTCTGTTCTCTCTCTGGTCTCTATCTCTGGTCTCTCTCTGGTCTCTCTCTGGTCTCTCTCTGGTCTGTCTCTGGTCTCTCTCTGGTCTCTCTCTGGTCTCTCTCTGGCCTCTCTCTGGCCTCTCTCTGGCCTCTCTATGGTCTCTCTCTGGTCTCTCTCTGGTCCCTCTCACGTCTATTTCTGAGTCTTTAGTGTAGCAGCCTGCCTGTTTATTCCTGTTAGGTTGAATTATTAATATTCCTGGGTCTTTATCCGGAGCAGAGTTGATGGTTCTGCTCTCTCTGGTCCGTGGCCTTCGCTCCTAATGGATCCGTAAACTGCAGCTCTGAGCAAAGAGCTGCTTTTGGAGAAGCTTTTGTCGACATGATTATAGTGTTCTGCGAAAGGCCAAGTCTGCCACCAGCCGCTAAATGTGTTTTCGGAGACGCGAGTGGGAAAAATGCAGATTGGATTCAATGTTGAAGAGAAAGAGATGGATTCAAGCTGAGAAACACAGGCTTAAAGCTGCGGTACGTAACTTTATAAGAAATAACGTGTGGTTTGACAGAAAGAGGCTTGTCCAATTAACGATACAACATGCTGTCTCCATCTCTGGTCTCTCTCTGATCTCTCTAGTATCTCTCTGGTCTCTCTCTCTGGTCTCTCTCTCTGGTCTCTCTCTCTGGTCTCTCTCTTTGGTCTCTCTCTGGTCACTCTCTGATCTTTCTGGTCTCTCTCTGGTCTCTCCCTCTGGTCTCTCTCTCTGGTCTCTCTCTCTGGTCTCTCTCTCTGGTCTCTCTCTCTGGTCTCTCTCTCTGGTCTCTTTTTCTGACCATGGAGAATATAAGTAAGTAAGTAAGTAATCTTTATTTATATACCGCCTTTCACAGACCAGAGTCACAAAGCAGGTTTACAATTGTTATTATTTTTGGGCATTTGTCTCTCACTCCACACAGAGATGGGAGCGGGGTCGCCAGTACAGGAGGCGCATGCCAGACATGCCAGATAGAGAGATAGCAAATTACTCTTGTCCATATGTCTCCTTTAACTGCATTGTGACACCGTCAAAGAACCACTTTTGTCGTCTCTTACTCCACATTTGTGCGTTCTCAGGGTGAAAGTGTGTTGCTGGTGCAGGTTACAGGGAGGACAGCGGAGCCGAGTGTCGTTAGCTCCTAATTAGGCAAATGAGCGGGAAATGAGAGAGGAGCTGCTTTATGAGATCTTTTTATCCCGCTGTGAAAGAGGCCGCGGGACACTCACATTATGCAGGCTTTATCATCTGAGGAGAGAGAGGAGGAAACAGAAGGACCAGAGAGAGAGACCAGAGAGAGACCAGAGAGAGACCAGAGAGAGACCAGAGAGAGACCAGAGAGAGACCAGAGAGAGACCAGAGAGAGACCAGAGAGAGACCAGAGAGAGAGACAAGAGAGAGAGACCAGAGAGAGAGAGACCAGAGAGAGAGACCAGAGAGAGAGACCAGAGAGAGAGAGACCAGAGAGAGACACCAGAGAGAGAGACCAGAGAGAGTGACCAGAGAGAGTGACCAGAGAGAGTGACCAGAGAGAGTGAGACCAGAGAGAGACCAGAGAGAGAGACCAGAGAGAGACCAGAGAGAGAGAGACCAGAGAGAGAGAGACCAGAGAGAGAGACCAGAGAGAGAGACCAGAGAGAGACCAGAGACAGAGCAGAGAGGCTACGCCTCATTCGTAACTTCCACAGAAGATTCCAGGCTGTCATGGATGTGAAGGGATAGTTTCTGTGGATCCTCTCTGTCCTGGGGATTTGAACATTAGGTGAGGAGTTTCCATGAGCCCTGAACAGTATTTGAGCAGTTTTAATGTCACTGGTAGTGTTTTATTTTTGTTGATAGCGGTTGTTTCGTCGTCTCAGCACAAACTCTCTGGAGAGACTGAAGTTTATCGTCTCTTTACTTTAACGATGAGCGAGGAGCGAAGCCACCGCACAATAACGACTTTACATTATTTATGAAGCTGCAATTCCATGAGTTTCACCACCGAGAGATCTGCGTCCGCCCAGCAGCAGCAGCAGCAGCAGAGAAACGAACCCTAACATTAAAGCTCGGGGACGTAACTTTCTCTCACAGCAATAGAAATCTGTTTCAAAAATACATTGTCTAGATCTCGGCTCCAAAACTGTTTCTATGACTAGTTTTTATATGCATGTGTTTTGGCCTCTGTAACGACCAGAGGAAGAGACC